TGTAGTGTCCGCGTGCGAAGTTGTTGGCCTTCAATTCACAAGTCCACTACGTGAGAAATGGAACTAACTGTGAAGCAAACCTGCTGCAGGATCAAAATGCGCCAAGAGACAGCATCCTCTTTACCAGAAATCAGCTGCTCCGGATGGAAAAGCTGTCGGTAGGTACCGGTGCGAACTTCATCCACAACCGTCGGTTCAAGATCCTTAGCTTATTNNTATTTTGTTGTAAATGCGACATCCTGGCTGTTGGGATAGAAGCAAGAAGCCATCACGGCTCGGCCAGCGGCCCATGACGTAAGCACTGTAGCGCGGCGGCGCTTGCGCAAGTGTGGAGTCTGCATCTCCAAAAGACTAGGAAAACACAAAGAGAAAAATTGCAACTAACCCCAATACCAACTCCAACACCATCCTCCTCAACACCATCAGCACCACGAAGCAGAACAAGAAGATGATGATTTCTTTCTCTTGGTTGATGTTATTACTAGTGTTCTTTGTCTTCTTGTCATACACAGTGTTATGCTCCTGTGCTTCATCGTCATGGCTGACTCAGTCTGATCAGCATCATCATCACCATCATCATCATCACCATCATGCCTCGTCACAGCACTCTCCTCGGCCTTTTGTTTAGCATGTCTCCTGCATTCAAACAAAAACTTCCTTCTTGTGCCTGCCTAAACACATAANNTATGAAGTCTCCTTCCTTTCACCAATACCAGGCGAACGACACTTGCCATGCAAGCTCGACTGACATCTCACATGTCGTCAGCAGCGCTGAAGATCAAGTAAGGCCGAGTCCACCATGACGCAACGAGGGACATGCTTTCCAGCGCCAGTTTCGGAGAAGAACGTGTTAAATGCGTCCTGAAGGGGTGGCTGCTTTCACCATGCTTAAGCCCTGCCCTACCAAAATAATCCTTGAAGCTAGGCACCCGTAGACCCCAAACAGAAATCTTGACCTAAAAACACTTGCCGCCACAAGCAAGGGGCATCTCCACCACCGATGGTCTTGTCCTTAGCTTCAAGCTCCAATGTCCAGCTTCACACTGAGCGTCGCACATTGGCTCG